ACCTTTTCTGTATCTAGTGTCAATGTTAAATTCCTGTCGATCTTCATTTATTTTATCTATTTTCCTTTCTTTAATATTTTGAGTGTTTAATATTGGATGTCCAGCGTATAAGAATATTTGAGCAGGTGTTTGTCCAGTGGTGTCATGTTTTATTTTATGATTGTATGTGTAAAGAATTGTCTCTATCTTGCTTAATTTTACTTCTTCATCATCGGATGAGTTGATTATTCGGATTTTTTCATTTATTGTCTTATGTAGTCTTTCGACGTCTGCTACACCGGTTTTTGCCGTGTTAAGTTGTAATTCAATTCCTTCTGCTTCAAGCCATCGCTTTAGAGTCAAGCTGGTGAAAGCTCCGTCTCTGTCTGCCTTTAGTAATTTGGGTTTACCTAACTGATTAAAAATGCGCATTAGTGCGTTCCTGCATTCTATCCAATCCTTTGATTTAATATGTTCAAGTGTAGCGAATTTTGAATAAATGTCAATGCAACTGATGTAATGTTTTCCCTCAGATGAATAAATAATTACCACAAATTTGTCTCGACAATGTTCAGGGTTGGGTGTGATTTTAAGAGGCATTTTGGTATTTCTGTGTTCTGTTTTAGCCAAATTGCATATGTTGCATTCATTTATTATATTCTGAATTAATAGTTGGCTATTTGGAAAAAAGTGATTTTCTTTAAATAATTTAGTCATTTTCTGTATACCTGGATGTAAAAGTTTTTCATGTGATTGAAGTATAATTTCTTTGAATTCGGCGTATGAATAAACATTCTTTAATAAGTGGAGGCTGCGAATTACTTTAGTGTAAGTGGTATTAATAATTTCTCTGTGTGCTCTTTGAATGATTTCAAAATCTACATCGCTTTCAATATGAATAGTAATGTTTCTATGAATAAAATGATCAAGTAAAATTTGTTTGGCTTTGTCGAGTGTCATTACATTATATTGAATTGTTGTAATGGAGTTACCGAATATTGTTGAATGCTCTACTTTATTGTTATCGGATTTAATGAAAATTATTTGTTTTTTGAAATAGTTTATTGGTTTTTCTGTTAAATGAATTAGGTTACTATTATCTTCTTCTGCACTATGTTGAGTAACTTCACTATGGTGATTTTCTTCAATTTTAATTCTTGATAATGCATCGGCAACTGAATTTTCTTTCCCTTTAATATAGTCTATTTTAAATTGGTATTCGTTTAACTTGGCTTTCCATCTTTGTAACTTGGCATTTGGTTCTTTTAAAGTATGCAGCCATCTAAGAGGTTGATGGTCACTAGCAATGAGAAAATGTCGTCCTAGTAAATAATGTCGAAAAGTTTTAGTGGCCCAAACAATGGCAAGTAATTCCTTTTCGATAGCACTGTAATTTAATTCATGTTCATTAAGTGTTCTGCTAATAAAGGATATAGGATGACCATTTTGAGAAAGTACGGCTCCAAGGGCTAGATTACTGGCATCTGTGGTTAAAGTGAATTTTTTTTCGAAATCGGGTAATTGGAGAATTGGTTCTCTAATTATTAATGTTTTAAGTTTTTTGAATGCTTCTATGTAGTCGATATTTTGTGTATCTATTTTTGCTCCTTTTTTTAAACATTTGGTCATTGGTTTTGCTATGTCTGCGTAGTTTGGGATAAATTTACGATAATAACCGGTTAATCCAAGGAAAGCTCTGATCTCTTTTACTTTTGTTGGAATTGGATATGAAACTATGGCTTTAACTTTAAGGGGGTTTGGTTTTATACCATTGGGGGTTACGATGTGACCAAGAAAACTAGCTTCCTTTTTTAAGAATTCACATTTGTCTAACTGTAACTTTAAATTTGCTTCTGCAAGTTTGGAAAAAACTAGCTGTAATGAATTTAAATGTTCGGTAAGGGATGTGGAAAAAATTATTATGTCATCTAAATACACTAAACAGTGTTTATTAAGCAACGGTCGAAGGATATTATTCATACACCTTTGAAAAATAGCAGGTGCATTTCTAAGGCCAAATGGCATTCGAAGGTATTCGTAATGACCGCTTTTGGTGGAGAATGCAGTTTTAGGTATTGATTCTGAGTCCATTTCTATTTGATGAAATCCCTTTGCCAAATCGATAGTTGTAAAATATTGGCATTTACCTAGTTTACCAAGGATTTCGTCCATGTTTGGTATTGGATATCTGTCGGGAATAGTTATTTCATTTAGCTTTCTATAATCAATTACTACTCTATACTTAATTTTTCCAGATGCATCAGGTTTTTTGGGTACTACCCAGGTAGGACTATTGTATGGTGAATTACTTTCCCTAATTAATCCCTGATTAAGCATTTCCTGTACTTGGTTATCAACTTCAATTTCGTGAGCTTGAGCAAGTGGGTACTGTTTTGAATAAATTGGGGAGTTATGTGTTGTATTTAGTACGTGTTTAATGGTATTTGTAAATGTTAGATTGTCTCCTTCTTCATATTGAAGATTTTTGAATTTATTTAATAAACCTTTCAACCTTGAAGTTTCCTCCTGATTTAGGTGATCTAATCGAAATAATCCGAAATCAATTTTTTTGTTGATGCCTGAGGTGATTTTTTAATTGGTTCTATTGGCTTTTGGATATAAAAATTTTGGTTCTTTTCTGACTTTGAAGTTATTAATTTATATGTTTTATCAAAAAGGGTAACTGTACTATTTTTGTAATTTATAATTGATTGTGCATTTTTCAACAATTTTCTGCCAATTAGTATATCATAATTATTAGAAAAATTGTGTACATAAAATGGTTCAGTTGTTTTAAAAATACTATTGCTGGGTAACATAATTAAATTGTTCAATGTAATGGGGCCATTTGATGTCAAAACTTCGCATATAGTATTTTGAATAGGAAGGCAAAATATATTTTTATTTATCATATTTATTGTGGATCCTGTGTCTATAAGGCAATTGTATGTGCAACCTTTGTATGCTATTTCTATGTATTGGTGTTGTCCGGGGCTGTTAACCGAAAATTTTCGTTTGGTTCTGAGCTATTTAGATTTTGTTCATCTTTATTTTGGGTGTATTGGACCTGTTGTTGCTGTTGTTGTTCATTAGTCAACCTATGGTATTGATTGTGGTCATAATACTGTTGTTCATAATAATTAGGTTGTATTTCTTCGTATTCGTGTTCGTGTGCGTCTTGAAATCTTAATTCGTCAATAGACATTTTGGTTTGTTCACTGTCCGATGGTCTTAGTCGTTTGGTAACCGGAAAGTTAGTATTTTTAGATGTAGAGGGTTGTTGTTGAGGGTATGTATTTCCTTTAAAATGTGCTGTTTGAGGATTTTGAATTTTATTTGAATATTGTGGAAAAGGATTTTTGTGAGTAAATGGTTGTGTGTTCATGTATTGGTTGGGTCCGAAATGATTTGGCCACATAGTTTGGTTGTTAGGTATTTGTTGTGTATAGGTGGGTCTAAACGATTGTGTGTATTGATTAAAATTAGGTTGGAATGGTTGAGAATATTGTGGGTAACTTGGTCGATATTGGGTTTGTGTATTTGTATTGAATTTGTGTGGTTTAGAATTTTGATTAGGGTTTGAGTTTTTATTACGATTTTCTGGAATTTTATTTAATTCAAAATTAACATGTTCTTCATATATTCCCTCATTTTGTGCGATAGTGATTAATGATCTTAAGTCTTCAATGTTATGATGAGCCAAAATAGTGAATAATTGTATTGGTAATTTTCTGATCAATATTTTAATGGAATCTTTAATCGCCTGAAGATAAATAAGAAAGTCTGGCTGGTTACCTTCTAGATGCAATTTCGAAATTAGTATTTGACGTCGTCTTTCTGCTTCTTCGCAGAATGCTCTCAGATTTCCCTTGTAAGGTGTCTCCCTGAAGTTCTCCAGTAGTTTGTAGTTCGGTGTTTGGGGTTTAAATTCTGCAACTAGTCTCGATCTAAGGGTAGGCCAATCTTCAATGTTCGGAAGGCCCAATGATCGCGTTACGTGTCCGTCCAAGTTTCTTTCGATGGCTCCAAGAAGAATCCTCTGTTGTCGCACATCATTAGTTTGGTAGAGTGAAATTACATAGTCCACTCTGCTGACGAAAGTGTAGAGAGTTTCTGGATCACCCTTAAATGGCATGATGTCTTTTAGTTGCCGACGAGCTTCAGCAAGGTTATTGTCGCTTAGTGCAACGATTTGGGGTGCGGCGATAACTGGTTGTGCCATTGTTACAGTAAATTTGTTGTTATAGTAAAATAACAATTTATTTTAGTTTATTTTTGATTTCACTTTTTAAAGTTGAAGTGTTTGTTTAAATTAATTTTCTTAAAATTTATTTGTTGTTATTAACTTTTAGGTGCCGTTGGACTTATTGTGTTTTTGTTTTGTTTTGTTCTTCCACTTTTTGTTGGACAACCGAATTGGAATTATAATCCAAGTTGAAGTGTTTTAAAACGTTTTGCGTAATTATTGTTCGAGAACTGAATTATAAAATTTAATTTATTTTTCACTCGAGGTTCTTTTTTTTCGGATACTTTTTGTATCCTACCGACTGCGCCAGTGAAGTGTTTTAATATTGTGAGTCGAACTAATGTCCCGTCAGTTGACTAAGGACAACGCTAAGTTGAATTAAAACAACGAATATTCCGCTTCACGTCTTTATTCAATTGATCTCAGCTTAAGACTAAATTAATGTGACAAAAATCTTACTTCTACTGCCCTTTGTTTACAAAAGTTGGGGAGCGAGATCGCCCGCTTGGGATATTGATTGAAGAATTATTTATGTTATTGAGAAGGAGCATTGCTTGCTCCGGATGTGGATTGTTTACATTGGTTCAGCGTGGGATCGCCTACGCTGCAGATTCATATTTCTTGGAACATAACAGAATTTGTGAATATGTCACTATATATATATCGTTAAATATTGAATAAAAAGCCAAACTGTAAATGTAGAACTTTCTTGTTATACATATATATATATTTTTGTTTCTTCTTCTTAACAGATTTTTTAATTTAATTTTTTCAGATGCAAACTCTGTTAAACTATAGCCTGAGACCTCCATTCAACTACACCTTTAATCAAAACTATTATGATGGTTTTAACTTTTTCCAAAAATACTCACCTCATAAAATTGATCCATATTTAAAAGATCAGATATGTAATTCATCGTCTTATAGTGGAAGCCCCATTTTAACGACTTCGCAAAGCTTGTGTGATAATTCAAGCTCTTTAATGACATCAAATTTACTTTCAACCAACATGCATCATATAAATTCATCAAATGGACTTCATATTTCTAGTTCCAGCAATTCACTATCAACCTTTGAACAGTACAAGCACTTGTTGGAAAATCCACTTAATGGGGTGCTGAACTATCCAACACAAAGCTACATATCTAAAACACGTAAATTCCAAGAACAGACTGCAAGTTCCTCAATGGTGAAACCTAATATTAATGCTTGCGAAGGCTATGTTACTCAAAATGTAGCTACACATCCTCAACTATGTGCCACTAAATCTATTGATTCCGTAGATTTACAGACAATGGCAGATTCAGAACGACCTATTCAAAATATAAAAAGTAAAGAAACTAATTTTACTGTAAGGACACCTCCATTATCCAACCGAGGTATAAAAAACACAACTTGTAAGTCGAAGGAAGGCAAAACCACACGGATTGAAAATAATAATAAAAGTACACAAAAAAATGTTAGTACTAACAATATTTCAAAAGATAGTAATAGTCATAATAGTACTCATAAACAGATTTACAAAACATCTTCGAGTATATCCCTCACTGAAATCGATACTATTAATCAAAATGATACAAACGATATTCCGAATAAATTACCAGAAAAAAGAAATATTCATCTTAAAGGTATGCTTAAGGAATCTGTTGGTCCTAGACAACATTCTTCAAAATTACCTGAAATACAGAACGGAACACATATATTTCAAAGTTTGAGACTGATTTCTGCAGAAATGTCTAAGAACATAAACCCAAAAACATCTCGTTCAGAATGTGTTCAAAATGTACCCACAAAAACTAATATAAATAAGGATGTGCCTTACTTATCTGATCAAAAAACTTCGTTAAGTGGAGGTTCAACAAATAATGGCACACATAAAAAGAACCAATCTGTTAATTCATTACCAATAAAAAATATAGAGTCAGAACCAGACAAACCATTTTTGGAACAGACAATGCAGAACATAAGTAAATACCACTCAGAACATCTCCAGCAGGACTTTGATGAATCGGATGCATGCTTGATTCGGTAAGAAAAAATGTATATACTTTTCTATATCACTCTTTTTTAAAAGTATATATCGTGTATCGTATATGTTGTGTTTCTGTTTTAATAGGTTGCTAGTTGTTAAAAATTTGGATGAGTTTTTATTGGTCTTCGAGATGTTGCATTTTTAAGGACTCCGAGGATATATATTTATTTTCTTAAGATTATTAATTATTTTTGAATAAAAACAAGAAAAGAAGCTAACCTCGGCTCACCGAAGTTTATATACCCTTGCAGATAGAACTTTGATCACTATGAATTAATACAATATAACTTATAATATTTATGGTATAAAACAATGAAGTAATGCCTGCTTTCATTTTATTCACCTATACATGTTGTATTTACAGTTTCACATTCACAGTTTTGCATTTTCCTCTATATTGTTTGTATGGGTGCTATAGAATATTGATATATAGATTAAGAACTACTTAACTTTGTGTATAAATCGGACCACTTAAATTCAGGTATAAAAAAATTCTGGCGTTTAAAGTCCGTCTTGCTAGATAAAAGAACTTTTTTTGGTGGGCGATATATATATATTTTATAAATCAGTGCCAATGTCAAGAGTCACATCGAAAGTATGATGATCGGCGCCTTAGTTAAATTAACTCTCACTTGTTCTGAGTCAAAACAAAAAAGGAAGCTAGCGCTTGTGTCGATCAAACCACCAAGAGAGTTAGGAGACTATGAGTGAAATAACCCAAATAACCCTAGTGGTGTTTCAATAGCCTAGGACTTTTAAATGGTCCTTGTTCGAAAGTATACTGGAAATAACCTGAATAGCTGTAAAGTGGTTCCAATAACTTGGCAGTTCTGGCAATAAAGGACTGTAAAAACAAGTAATATAAGTGGAGCTAAGAATCTCCGGCTTTGGCCAGGATTCTGTAAACACTATAACCTGAGAAAAAATGAAATAATATTAGAATACAAGTAAGGAAGATACTACGTAAGCCTGTTGCATTCTGATAGAATATGCACAGGTTTTACTAGTTTTTTTTATAGGAACTTGAAGCCGTAGAGAGTGCAGTGTTCGGATCGGGTGCCCTTTTTCTGTTGGCTTTACCCTACTTAACAACAACATACTCTGGTCTGAATTTGGTAGAGCATATTGTATTAAAGAGTGCTTTTGTTTTACCATGCATAAAGGCGATAACATCTTTCGATGTGTGAGCAGGGGAGAGCTCTAAAACCAATATCTTTTTCGTAGGGGGGACTAATTTTTAAGATCATGCCATTATCGGCCAGTAGTCTTGGTCTTATATCCTGAGTGGATAGATTAACGGAGCTCTTAGGGATTATTATTTGAAACATTCCCATGGGTAAAACGAATTTAAGCTATCAGCACTTTCGGATACCTAATATTTTTTAGCGCTCGAACTTCGAATTTTTTTATTATTATTACATACAATACATCAGATATCTTTCAACGCTTTCAATCTCACAACTGTAACGCAAGCCGATGTTTTTGCTCACCTCAACGGCCTTCCGGGCTGCAACACCAATCAATTTTGAGTATAACTTCTTTGCCACACCGCGATCAGCCGATGGTGAGATCGCCTGAGGATTTTTTTTCTGGATTTTGAGAAGCAAAAAATATTAGAGAACACATTAGCACCTTACAAGAAAGTGAGATGAGGAGTGCAGCTTTACAGCAAGAGTGAGAGTGGGAGAGAATGAAATGAGCGATATACATATGCGTTTAATTGAAATGTATAGCGTATCATAGGTCTAATAAAGTTGCAGGGATAAAAGTGATGTTGCATTTGGATCAACCGTTGCCGTCTGCTGAGGCGGCCTTCGCAAAGATTTGTAATTTCAGGCTCACGACAAATTAAACGGGAGTTTAGATTGCACAGACAAGGCAAAGCGTCAATGACTAAGATGTATGCAACGACTACTCTGAAATTTGGCCAACTTTACAGAAGACGTCCTTAAGCCACCGATGTACGAAGCCCGCAGAGCGATCACACAGCTAAATAAAATTGTTTTTTAGTTCGCAAAGTTGTCTGCATTGTCACTACAAATCGTACGCGGGCTGCCTCAAAGGTTGTTAAAAAAAAGCAGCTTTCTAGAAAAAGGAGGTTAAGACGGCGATATAGTATTTGTGGGGTGCCGTGTTGCTGTTCTATGCCTTATGATAGAATGGCCATGGTCCAATCCTGTCCACAGTCACAGGCTTCATCCGAAAATATCTGACGCATTTTTTGATTACATTAGTCCTGAAATTGTGCCCTCAAATACCTTTGCCGTAACACTGAATCACCCTGATGAACGCTTGATCGGGTGCCGGTTCGTCGAGGACCATGTATCAGGAGGCTATAAGTATGGATGCCTCGTCCGCTGCTCGAAATCTGGTCACTGCTGGATCTGACTTACCAAGATTGGGATATAGAAATGCGTTAAATATGTTTTTGATGACTATACCCGACCTCGGTATATCTGTCAAGTTGGTGGATATTGTTCTGTATTCTTTGACGGCCATGCCACAAGTTTGTCCGTCCCTGGCCCATAGCTCTTATACTAAGCCAATTTCGATGTCCTTCTGCTAGATTCACTGAAGCATGTGAGCCACCAGTGCCACGGCAAGGCGGTCTAACTGCCACCTAGCTGAGCTCCCTCGCCTGTCTGACGAATGATGTCGCTCTAGGGGCCTGCTTAGCGTTCATTGCTCTCTTCGGAGTGCTTTCACTCACTTAATGTGAGCGTTTGCGAGACTGTTGAGTGGGTGCTTCCGGGTGCTCATTTTCTTGTCTCTCGTACTCCTCATTAACTCCCTGGAATCGTACTATGTTCTCTTAATTCCACTGGTCAGTTTTACTCTCCTCTTTATTCCTGGCTCTCTTCGCTACAATGATACTGGCCTTACTGACCTTCGCCTTCTTCTGCTGATGGGTGTATCACTTTCGCTTGATCCTTGAACCCACATTGATGCCTTGGTGATGTCTGGTGTTGGTTGTTCCGTTCGGGGGGTGCTTGACTTAGCACTACCCATGGGTCTCGACGAAGTTATCGTTCCGTCATCCGAGCGCAGCAACTCATCTTCGTTGATTTTGGAAATTGGGTGGGGTTTTATCTCCCCCATGAAGGCGACAAAACGAGCGCGACGGGCTCGAGAGGTTTAGGGCATTGGCTTTGCCACAACCCGACCCAGGTTTGCCTGGTCCTAGGAAGGCTCCGTTCGAAGACAGCGGGATTAACCCCTAAGGTGCGAATTGTATATTGTAGAGGGCTATAGTCGCCTTATACATGAGCTGAAACCCCGTTAGAAAATTCCTTGGGGTTGAAGTTGTATTCTGATCTAGAGTTCAGCAAAGACTGAGCTTTTGGATAGATACAGAATTTGTCCTAAATTTTCAAGACAGCTTTCGGAACAATTGATCCAATGCATTGCGGGTTAGTGAACGTTGCATTAATATGCAATCCTTCATCGACGGCGATGTGTTGACCTGTTCATAAGTCTGTGTGAATCTGGGCTGACATGTGTGCTGCGGTCTACGGCACCTACCGCAATTAAATCTTGATTCTAACTTAGCCACATCAAGACATTTTATATACAATGAAAACTATTTAGCAAAATTAAAACGCACATGCACACTGACTTCTTCAAATGAGGGGCATTTTCCAATTTTATGATTGAATGCCTTGAAATTGAGACAGCTGTTTTGGGCAGTCACGAAGCCTTTCGTGTATTGCCCTACGCTTTTTTGTAGGCTTACCTATATATTTTCCAGAAAGCACTTCTATTGTTAGGCTTGACCTTTTGCAGTCTATAATTTCGCTG